ACTCGTTATAAATTGAAATCTTTGTAAAAATTCAGATAGAATTAATTATTTTTTGGTCATATGTGGTAAATTTAGTTTTATACTTGTTTGAAAATATGAACGTCATAATCTATAAAAATATGATTAAAAACCCATTAAAAATAAATGCAATTTTTCAACAGTTTGAATTGACAAAACCTGGTGAGGCTTGTTTTCTCGCTAGAGGGTGTACCATACGTAATGTTGCGAATAGACAGATTGAAACTAACATGAGATAGTGTTTGAAGCTAACAGTAGTCAGTTGAAGTACGGGTGTGTATTTTCACTTTAGGAAACTGTTACGCCTGCAAGTAAACACGTCAACTTGATACACTTGAACTAGAACGAGTTTACCTTAGTCGGAAAACGAGAGCGAGGATCGAGGATCCGGTGACACGACATGTTACTCGAATCCGATTGTCTCAGCCCCCATATTTAGTAAAAATAAGAAGAATTGATTTGAATTAGAAGCTGTATTCTACAAGCATTCAGAAAGTACGAGGTCCGAGTCCAGAAGAGAAACAGGATCCCGGACTAGGGATCCGGGACCGGGTCCTGGTCCTGGTCATACAACGTTACACATAATGCGTATTTATACATTTTGGTTGAATAGGAAACAGCATCGAATTCTGTGACATTGGCAGTTCAGACGACCAATAGGAAGTAACATTTGAAGTGACATTGATAGTCAGGACAATCAATAAGAAAGAACATTGGAACACGTGACATTGATATCTAGGACGACCATAAAATTAACCAGTAGGAATTAACAAAATAGGAATTGACTAATAATTCCCTTAGGATATTGGATGAATATCCTAACAGAAACTAACCAAGGAAATCAGCTTAAATCCAAGTTAACATTGAAGGTAATAACAAAATTTACTGTTTAGTATTTAGTTATTCTTGTGCGTGCTCTCCTATCTCGATTATTACATGTCTGGCTTATTTTTGTCTAACTATAGATTCTTAGTCATACCTCATCGAGTTGAGTTGGTTTCTTATTACTGCCGTCGCACATACGGGGTTCGCCTAAGTGTAGTATATGGAAACTAATGGGGAGATTTGTTTCATAGCGACCTTGATCACACATAAATACTAGAGCGAGATCCTGGGCTATAAAGTAGTGATGACGAGGTCAAATCTAACGCAGCCAATAAAATAGTAAGCCTGATATCGAATCTAATAACGCAACACACTTTTATTCTGACTGAATGAGTTGAAATCGTAGGTATCTTTTTTTCAACTACTCTAATGATATCTAGGCTGAGCATTGCAGATAAGAGAGGTAAGAAGAGGTATAGTGCGTATTTGATTGTGACCGATTTGTTCTTTAGCACTGTTATGGATATGAGTGCGAATAACACTTACCGCCTACCCACACAGTAGAATGAACCTGAAATGGAAGTTGGGTTAGAGTGCCTTCGAGACCTGGCAGCGTGAGCGTAGAGTCCAAGGGACAAATGCTTGGGGCCGTTCACAGCGTCTTTATGTTAAGTTTCGAAAGTGTTAGCGCGTCTCTTCAAATGGCTTTACCGTTTGAGACGTAAATCTGTGGGGAAGGTGACGTAGCACATTTTTACGATCGACATTTCCGAACCCCTTCTTCCGTTGTGAGAAGATAACATCGCTGCAGATGCTAGTCATTCGAAGGAAACACCATACCGCTCTCACATACCTCTACAATCAGTCAGCAGTTCACTTCGCCCACAGATTTTAAGTTGCTGCTTTTAATCTTACCGTTCTACAATCAACATGCTTGGCATATTACGATCTAAAGGAATGTATTTTTCAGCTAATATGGTTCAGTCGGGTTATCACGAAAGACAACCTTGACCTCAATGCCAAGGTAGTAGCTAGGGCCGGGTAGGCTGAGCATAGTTTCATGCCGACGGTCCAAAATGAATTAACAACAAAACATACTGTTTATGATGACAAGTCATTAAGACTAGCGATCGGATTTCATCAATAGGAGTTAATTATAGATATGGAGTTAAAGCAAATGTGGTCAGTGACCACCAAATAAAGCGCACATTCTTATTGAAAGAATTTTCTACAGTAAATGCTATCATTTTTGTAATTTTTATGTCAAATCATCTCTTCCTACTTAAATAATTCGAAAACTCATCATTAAGATGAAAATAAACATTAAATAGCTAGTCAGATTAGCTGAAAATATCGGTATCCATCTGCTGAACTCTCAAACGAATAATTCATACTACGTACAAGTAGTTAAAATTATAATGATAATTTACTCCTCGATTATAATCATAATCATGACGAGCGATGAGTAATTTGTGACCTGATTAGATAGAAATATCGAGTGCTGAATTTTTTTAAAACTGTTCAGCTATTACGATAAAAATTCTTATTATATCTACTTTCCGAAGTGAATATTTATGAGTACTAAAGTATTCATGTACCATTTTTTGAAATAGTCGATTACTGCGTTACTTTTAAAATCATGAATGAATCATTGTTAGATTACTATGAGAAACCAGGAACCACTGGACGGCCGTTTCATCATGGTATGGGACTCATCAGCAGTGCGCATTCACAACTTCTGCTACTAACAGGATTCAAACCCAGGACCCTCGGTCTTGTAAACTATAAAACAACGTTAAAATACTCAACTAGAATTTAGAGATATCCAAGAAATAAGTAGTTGTCTGTAAGTCTTCGACATTTATACCAACCTCGTCAGATTAACTAGTTGAAGGCGCTCAGCCATTCATTCGTACTAGACCACCATGGACTACGCTGAGCAATGCGACTATTCCCTCCAACTAGAAAGTTTGGTACACTTACTCTTCGAAATCCAAACTGATGCAACTTGTTCCTGACTTCTAGTTTGACTTGGCTTTGTTTCCTAGATTTTAAAGGATATACGGATCGAAGAGATGTTCAAATCTGAATATCCATGACATCTTCAGGCCATCTGATAGTCATCAGAGATGTCCTAAAGGACGAACATATACCACTGATCAAGTGAGTATGACGTTCAGATCTGGGATATTTGACATCATAACCGAAAACACTATTGATCAATAAACAGAGATAGCGTCCTAGTTCTTATTTATGACTCTTCAAAAGTGCCCTCTAGTCACGACATCACATGTAATTGTATTGAAAACTATCAACTTTTTGAAGGGTAAATCACAAATGCAAACTACACTAATAAATCTCGTACTGGTAAAAAGTAGCTATTCAATTGTTGTTTTTGGTTGTACAGAAATATCAATTGAATTTATGATATTTAAATGTACTACAAATTAAAAGCATAGTTCTATTTGGTGAATACGCTGACAAAACGAAGAATTATCTGACTACCCTAAGCAACAATGCAAGCATATTTTGAATGCGATCCTCCCCGTCCAAATGCAATATGTTGCTTCGAGATTGGCTTGCGTCGACATCTGAACTAGTGATAAGGGGTTAAGTAGTTGAGCGTATTGACCACTTCACTGATCTGGGGAGTTTCATCAGTGCTGATGGCATGGTGACTGACGAAATCTCAGCACGGATACAGAAGGCTCAATTGCCTTTTGCCAACCTTCGTTACTTATAGCCTAAGCGAGATATCCGTCTGCTAACCAAAGGATGAATCTATTGAGTATCAGTTCGCTCGGTCCTATTTCATGGCCATGAAACAAGGCCAGTCAGAGAAGAAGACAATCGTAGGTTGCTGGTTTTCGATCATAGGTGTCTTGGAACTACTACTCATATATCCTGGGACCACCGAGTAAACAACGCTGTTTTTAGGAAAGGATTACTAATCAATTGACGAAGTAGTGAATCTGTATCAGATGAGGTTGTGGAGTATATCTCGACGTGTTTTGTGGTGTAGGGTAGACCAAAAGAAATCAAGGAACGGCCAAATCAAAACATGGCACAAGTCCATTATGTCATTGACAAGTGGACTGAGTCATGTTGGTAGGTGCATGCTACCTGGTTGGGTTCTGCAAGACGAAAGTCACGAATGGTTATAGAGACCTCGAATGACATGGCTGAAAATCGTTTGAAATAGAGCATATGCGTCCATTCTTTGTGTTCTCTCGAATGCTAATCTCCTGAATTCCTCATCACCTCTGTCTTTCTCTTTCTAAATTGATTTCATTACACTATACTTCTTGAATAATATCTTCGAACCCTAATCTTCTTCATTACTGCTAATACTTCTCACACGCAACAACACATGCAAGAGAAGACGACCAGTGTAGCAGCAGCCTACACAGCAGTAGGTCACAACATACATGAAGGAAAAAGCGAAATTCTCCGATGCAACACAACATGCACCAACCAAATCACTGTTGATGGAGATGCCGTCGAGGACGTTAACACCTTTACATATTTGGGCAGCATCATCGATGAGAACGGTGGATCAGATGCAGATGTGAGGGCGCGGATCGGCAAAGCAAGGGCTGCATTTCTACAATCGGACAACATCTGGAACTCCAAATAAATATCAATCAACACCAAAATCAGCATTTTCAATACAAATGTCAAGACAGTTCTATCGTATGGAGCGGAAACTTGGAGAACTACTTAAGCGATCATCTACAAGATACAAGTGTTTATTATTAACAGTTGTCTTCGCAAAATACTTCGGATTCGTTGGCCAGAGTTGGTTGGAGAAAACTGGTGGGCGGCCTATGCTCCATTGGAGGTAACAGGCGTAAGTAAGTAAGTAAGTAAGTTCTACTACCTCAACTACTATGAGCTTTGAATGAACAATTCGATCTGATATATGTACGTACGCAGGTTTACGCTGTAGCCAGCCACCTAACTGTTACTGACTCACAAATGGAAACATTAAACTCTTCAAATCATTCATTTAAACACAAAAAATCAATTTTCAAGCAATACATACACAAACATATGATAATACATCATTTTTATATTTACAAATAGAATACATTATACATAATACAAGAGAGATACTACTGTTCATCATCATCATCATCATCAATATACTATTGATTTCATATTAACAAAGTATTCTGTTGTAAGTAGTATAATGTGATTGAAGCTAAAAATCCTGGAATTGAATGATTCACATTTAAATATTGATGAATTTCTTCAGGTAATGATTTAGTGAATGTATTCTCGACTAATTCAAATTTCCCGTCAACTTTCTATGTAAAATAGAAGTGGAAGAAGAAGAAGGAAATAGAAAGATTTAAAATATTGAACGTTGAACAATGGTAAAGTACACGTAAAAGACAATTTTGTATAAATTTTCTGTAGAGAATGAGCGTAGATATTGTTGAATTTTTATTGGTTTGTTTATATTAGTCGAGTGATCACAGTTGGACAACTAATTACTAGTGAAGACCAGAAAAATTATTGAAAAACTGTTTCGTGATACTAGACAACAACTACTACTACTACTCATCAGCAGTACAGATTTCAATGGAGGTTAAACACAGGGTGTAATAATGTTAAGATCACTGTGTATTAGTACAAAACTCTGTAGGTGTACAAGAAAGGACTAAAGTCCTATTGTGACAATCACATGGGAATCAGTCTAAGTGTCGGCTACCTGGTTGGGATCCGCGAGATGATAATAATCGATGGTTAGAGACCTTGAACGACATTGTTCAAAATCATTTTCAAAGGCGCAGGTGCATCCACTCTTTATGTTCTCTCAAATCCTAATCTTCTGGATCGGTCAACATCTCTACCATTGTCTTTCTAAACTTACATCACTAAATTATACTTCTTGAATATTATCTTCAAAGCTTAGTCTTCTCCATTACCGGTAATACTTCTATTATAGCTACCACTATTGGATTTGAATTGACAATTGCGTCTCTGTGCTTATGTGGTATAGTAACATGAACTGATGTAGTACTTACGTACGAAGTCCTACGTTGCAATTGACTGACTTACTGACTGTAGCTATATATAAACTATGTTTGAACTAACAACATGTATACTTGGATATTCAGTGATGAATTGTTTCCAGCAGAGTATAGGTAAAGATATAAACTTTGTTAGATTCAAATGATCGAAGTAGGTGCATTACCCAAGTCTATTTACTAAGCACCTCAATCATATCTATTAATAGTCAAGCTTTCCTGTTCTAACGACCTAGTTGAGTTATTACTAGTTGGTACCATTCCAAATAGGTCGGATGAAAAGGTTTCAAAATAAAAGTAGTATATTTAAAATCCAACGATAAAATATTACTGACGACTGTACAGGAGTGTAACAGCAGTAAGAAGTTTACTTGAGAGATAATCAGTATGTTTTGGTGATGATGACTTCTTACACAAGGAAGGGATTAGAAGAGCTGAACCTTAAAAAGACGATGCTTTATAGTGTTCCGTGATAGGTTTCTGCCGCCAACTTTATGAACTTCAGAGAGAATAGTGAACAAATTTAAAACTAACCATAAACATGTCGATCTGAAGCAAGTGTATTTGGATTGTCACAAAAACACCTTGTATGTTGGTTGACAAAGCCACATCGAATCCAACTTTTTATTCTGGTGATTCAGAAAAATATGTAGTAATGAATATCTAAACGCCCAGAATATCACTCGATATCACGAATGACGACCTACATTCGAGGCTAGCTAGTGATAGGAATAGAATCAAACGAAAACTAACGAAAACCTAAATAAAACATGCCACCACTATTAAACTATTGTTCATTCGGCCAGTCAGTCAGTCAGTGTCGTGTACTGTTACGGATGTGAGGGTGGTTGTCACTTTCCAGCTATCCACCTTGTGGAAGGGTGTTTCTTTAGGAGCATAAAAAGGAAGTTGCATTACTGTTGATCTTAGCGACCTTCTATGAGAAGTTTTCAAAGTTTTAGCTCCATTCTTCAAATGACCTTATCATCGGAGACGAGAATCCATGAGGTAAGGTGAAGTGTGACACATTTCAAAGGTTGACCTTTTCTAACCCATTCTTTCCGTTGTGAGAAGTCAGCATCGATACAGATGCTGGTTATCTGCCGAAAACACCTTACTGTTGTCCCACAACCCTGTACAGTCAATCAGTCAGCAGCACGACTTCGCCCTCAGACGTTGAGTAGCTGCTTTTAGCCTAACAGTTCTCCAGTCAACCTGCCTGGCATGATAGAACCTACAGGAACATACGTTCTAGCCAATATAGCTCGGTTGGGTCATCACGATAGGCAAGCCTGACCATCATGTCAAGATAGCAGCTAAAATTGGGAAACTATTGTTCTGAATCTTGTCAACCAATGAAAACTATCTAGTTGGGCACCATTTTCAGTCAGTCAGTCAGTCAGATGCAACGTAGAACTTTGTACGTAAGTACATCAGTTCATGTTGCCATACCACATCAGCACACAGATATAATTGTCAATTCAAATCCAATAGTAGTAGAGGTAGTAAAGGTATTAGAAGTAATCGGAGAGGTTGGGATTAGAAGATACTATTCAAGAAGTGTGACTCAGTGAGAAAAGTTTAGAGAGTCGAAACTGGAGGGGTTGAAGAATCCAGAAGATTAGCATTTGAGAGAACACAACGAATAAATGCACCGGCGCCATTGCGAACGATTTTGAGCCATGTCACTCAAGGTCTCTAACCATTGATTATTATCATCTCGCGGACCCCAACCACGTAGTCGACAATTACCGAAATGGCTAAGTCTACTAGTCAGTGAATTCATTGATTTCTGCCATGTTTTGGTTTGGCCGCCCCTAACTTTCTTCCAACCTATTCCTACACTACAAAACATAGCTCGTCGAGGTAGTCGGTGGTTAGGCATACGCAACACACATGTCCCAACCACCTCAACTGATGCAGTTTCAGCACTTCATCTATTGATCTGCCATTCTTACCTAGCACCCATTTCCTAATAACAGCGTTGCTCACTCGGGTGTCCCACACAATATATGAGCAATGCTTCGGATACACCTATGATCAAAAACCAATAATCTACAAATATCTTCTACTCTCACTGGCTATGTTTCACAACCATAAAGTAAGACCGAGCGAACTAGTGCGCACAAATTGATACATACATACATAAAAACTAACTAACTTTAAAATATAAATAATCTTCTTTATTATTAACAGTGAATACTGGACAAACTTGACAATCACCACATGATTGTATATTAATACGATAACCTAATAAATCACGATATGATGTACGATATTTAATTTTCGCCTTATCAAATAATTCCATCAAACGATCAGCACGTAAACGTTCAACGCGAAGTTGTTCCTTCGTTTCTATATTCACAGAGAGAGAGCAAGAGAGAGAGAGGCAGAGGGAGAGAGTGAGAAACACAATAAATTAGATGATGAGACTACTCTGCATTTGAAGAGTGGAATATGATTAGTGGTGGTGTAGTGAACGAGAACACAGGTGGGGCAACCAGATTGTATTTAACGAAAATTACATAGTTACTCAGTAAAATTGGAAAACCATATCGTAAATTGTTCATTTGAAAAATATCAGTTCATCATATCGAACTGGACTGTTCCTGTTGGAAAACATCAATCCATTGTCATTATTCATGTGTTTCATACAAATTCCATTGTGTTCTAACTCTTCCTTTCTTGATCTTCTCCCATCTTCTGCTGCCAGACATTACGTTGACACTCACGTCATATACTACTTATAAGTACCTCGCAGCACACTAGTAGCGGGATTCGACTGTAATAATGTTATGCACGTCAACTGATAAGGTGGAGGAGCTATTACGAGTTCACCTTAATCAGTAAACCAGAGCGAAAATAACTAGTCCAGTGACACGATAGGCTACTCTAATCCGAGCGACCCACTAAGTAGAGGAAGAAGTCTTGACAAGACATAGAAAAGCACGAAGTTGACAAGCATACACAAATCAAGTTTATTAAGACATCATAGAAATGTCCTTGTTGAGAGCCACAAAAATAGCGTACTAAAATAACACATCAACCAACAACAGTTGAGGATTTACCGGGTTGGATATGCAATCTCAAAGTCAACTGATCAGCCCATGCGCGAAAACATAACAAATCTAAAATTAGGACTTTTATCATCAAGTGAGTTCTGGGAATCTAACATCCTCAACAAATAACTCTTGTTTCATACGTCAATCTGTCTTACATGTTAGCTAATGAGTCTACATAACCGCTTACTTATCCAACGAGTATGAAGTGTAACGCATTCGAAATCTTACTCTACTTAGGTCTAGTTCCGATTATCCAGCTTCTATTACAATCTCATGTTTGTGTTATTTCTGATTGGTATCGATCGCTTCCTCTATTCAATGTAAGTGTACATTGTATGTGCTTACCAAGTCATCGGTTCATCTTTATCTCTTGTTCGTTTTACCTCTTCCAGAAAACTTCTCATACTACTTCTCACACTTCCCCAGCACACACTGGCTAAACGCAGACTAACCAAAACCTGAAGTTATAGAATTTTAACCTAATTTCTAGTGATTCCAACTGCACTCCATCCTGGACTGCCTTGGTAAGGCCAAGTATGGGCAGACTTCGTGTTCTCTCTCTCTTCCAAAATGCTCTCTCATATGGGTATGTGGATCTAATTACTGTCACTGGCCTTCTCGTGACGAACGTGTTGCTTACGAAAGAGCAAAGGAAAAACAACAAATATTCGGTGCTTTTAACCAGGTTGGTGGTTATGAAGTGGTCTACTTGGCAAGGGAGTTGGAGAACACAAACATGCATGCGAACGGTGTACATTGGCTCGGGGAACAAGCGACGCATGAATTTATTATCGGTCACCTGATACTATGAGACTACATATCTTAACGTTACTTCACTCACTGTCTTATGGACTAAATCTTTAAGTGATAAAAGGCTCAGTAAGTAGCCTCCTTGCTTCGGTTCGGTTACTTGGATAGTAGTAAATATTTGAGTGTTCCTTTACACTAATAACTGTGTTTATAAGTACAGAAGACATAAAAGAATCTCGTGAAAGCCTCCATATCAAACGTCTGCTGATTGAGTTAAAACTTAAAGATAAATACTTTCAATATAGGTAAATGTTATTTGTCAGGGTCCTTTTACTTTGTCCATATTTATTTGACATTGTCATAAATATGATCTTTTTTTTTAAAACGATAACGCTCTCATAATTTGACTTTTATAACAATCATCTTCTGCCAACTAAGAACATGCAGATGACACATTTTTGATTGATGAAGATGCTGACCAAAATAGAGACTCATTGAAATTATGATTCGATCATTGTTTGACGACGATTAGAAACCTAGAAGCAACGGGCGGTCGTTTCGTTCTACCGAAGACATTTACTTAAGGTTGTGCAGTACCTTGGATTGATTAGAGTTAGGCATTAACAACATTGGATACATGTCGGCCTAGAAGTGGTCTAAAGGTTAAACGTTCACGTGCAAGACCAAAGGTCCTCAGTTCAATTCCCGCTAGCGAGGGTCGTGGACGCACAAACTACTGATGAGTCACATACTTGGACGAAACGACTGTCCAATGCTTTCCAGCTTCTAATGATGATCGATTCATGATTTCAATGAACAAAACATTAACACACACACACATACACATACACACACATAAAAAAAATGGAAAATCAATCAATATTTGCTTGTACTACCACCCACCACCAACACCTACACTCACTTACCGGCAAGTTCTGTCAATGGATCAGGATTAGAACGTATACGATTTTCAACAGTATTTGTAACATCTAAATCCATTGTGATATCTGTTGTTTGATTAGGACAATTTTGTTTCTCTGATAAATGAATGACACGTTCTTCTAATACCTAAGATATATATAGAAATACAGCACAATAAATGATAGTCGTTTTACAGAAACACTTTTATTGGTTGCCCGGATGGTTAGAACTACGAATGGTTAGTCAATAATCGGCGTAGAATGTGTACCCAGTAAGAATTGTTTCAAAATAGGCATTAAGGCACAAACATTAGTTAGAACGTAGAAATTCGTACATACGTACGTACATCACATTAGCGCACAGAGATGCAATTGTTGATTCAAATCCCATAGACATAGAGGAAGTAGAAATAAGAGCGATAATCGGAAGGAGCACGATCCGAAGATATCAAATAAAGAAGCATAGTGCTCCGGTTTAACCCTACATAAAACAACGTGGCTCGTCGAGGCAGTCGGTGGTTGGGCAACTGTTACACCTGCATGTAAACACGTCAACTTGATATACTTGAACTATTATGAGTTTACTTAGTCGGAAAACGAGAGCGAGGATCGAGGATCCGGCGACATGACATGCCACTCAAATCCGATTATCCCAACCCCCATATTGAGTAAAAAATAAGAAGACTTGATATGAATTAGAACTTGTATTCTACAAGCATCCACAAAGTACGAGGTCCAAAACCAGAAGAGAATTAGGATCCCGGACTAGGGATCCAGGACCGGGTCCTGGTCATAAAACGTCACACATAATGCGTATTTATACATTTGGTCGAATAGGAAACAGCATCGAAGTCTGTGACGTTTGAAGTTAAGACGGCCAATAGGAAGCAACATTTGAATTGACATTAACAGGCAGGACAACCAATAAGAAACAACATTGAAGCACTTGACACTGATATCTAGGACGACCATAAAATTTACCAGTAGGAATTAACCAATAGGAATTGACCAATAATAATTCTCTTAGGATATTGGATGAATATCCTAACAGCAACTGATGAAGTTTCACTAATTCATCAATTGATTTGCCATTCCTACCTAATATTCGTTTCCTAACGATAGCAATGCTTCAAAGTCACCTTTGATCGAATATTAGTAAACAACGAATATCCTCTACTCTTACTGGCCATATTTCACACCTGTAAAGTAGGGTCGAACGAACGGCTGCACAGTAGAGCCATACTTTGGTTGACAAACGGATATCTCGCCTACACCATAAGTGACGTAATTTGGCGAAGGACAATTAATCCTTCTGCATCCGTGCTGAGATTTCGTCAGTCACCAGGCCATCAGTACTGATGAGACTCCCAACATAAGTGAAGTGGTCAACACGCTCGACTACTTCACTCGCCTATGCAAACATTATAAACAGAGATGTATAGCAGTGAAGAATTCAGGATGCACGTTTCAACTTCGTTTTTTCTCTAGACAAGTTATAAGTTGGATCTAGTTGCATCCTTGATCTGATGTACATCGCAGGATTCGATCGAATCGATTTGATAAAACTTTTTGTTTTAGTATAAAGTGTTGTGTAAACTGTTTGATCGGAAGTTTAACATGTCGAATTTCATAATCTGCAAGTTACACGTTCATTACTGATAACTCCTAAAATAAGAATTTGAAACGGCTTTCCAGGGTTCTAATGGTGATTGATTCATGACTTCAAAGTAAATTTCGCGACAATTTATGCTCTCTGTGTAATATCAATCCACGCTATTCAGTTTCAGTTTCAATCATTACAACTAGACTATTCCGTTTACAAAACTGAAACATTCGAATCTTGGAGAGACAACATCAACTACCTCCAGTAATTCTAGCTGATGAGACGAACCAGTACGAAACTCAAATCCAGTAGGGTTTCTCACTAGCAAACTAAAACAACAGCTTCACCTACGTGAATATCAACTAGGCAGTCGAACAACATGACATTTCTTCCCTTACATCAGCACATGCGACCAACTGTCAACATATATACGATTGGAACAATGTTGAAATACTGGAGAGAGGGAGTACAAAGAACACTAGAGAATTTTTAGAAGCTTGGCACCTAAGTAAACCAGAAATAAGCAAACACATCGACATTGGCCCAAATTATCAACCAATCAGAAACATCACAGACAAACATAGGATCAAGACACAGATCAAAAGGGCGATACAATCATGATAAAGGTGCAGACAATGACAAGTTAAATTTCAGTGACAACTAATCAAGACTGAGGTCAACAGGTCAAGCCACGAGTCATACATGGAGAAATTCGAATAATTCACTTCTGTCTACCTAAAGTTTGTACTGCTGATGATGTTGTTCAGAAGAAGAACAATGAAAACTCCCCACCCAAAACAACATCCAACTGAGAGAACCGAAAATTCCCAACTATAATCATCCCCCCTGAGCTATAACAAATTTTCTTCACTATCTCAAAAAAGAAAAATCACAAACCAAATCTTACTTGAATACGTTGACGTTGTCGTTCAGTTAACAAACGTAATTCAGTAATTTCATTCGATAAATTCTGTTTAATCATTTCGCCTGGATGATATTTATATGTTAATATTTTAGTTGTCTCTGTATTACACATACCCTAGAGATTTATAAGAAAAAAACGAAGAAGGAATTTACAAGGAAATAAGTAAAGGAATAAGTGGTGATATTTCATTCGCTGAGCTGGATGCATTTTGGTTGTGAAACTTTCATTGTTCTTCTGCTCTGAACAACATCATCGGCACAATCTTCCATCTGAAGCTGTTGTTATTGTTCAGAAGAACAATGAAAGCTTCACAACCAAAACATCAAGCTCATGGAACGGAACACCATGACAATCATTCACCTGACCTACAAATTGTCTTCACTATCTCAGAGGAATAAGTGAATCAATATGAACTATAACGGATAAATATCCCCATGATAGGATGTTATGGAGATGGGTTCAAATCGACAGTGATTAATGAGAGGCATTGTTCAGTTAGATTTATTCACTGACAGTATCATTATTAATGACTAATAAGAATATTAGAGCTTAAAACTATTGGATGTTGACTTAGTGACGCGAACTTTCTGTACCCTCAGATTGTGTTGGTGAGTACGACTGTGAAAAAGAAAGTCTTCCAATAAAGTTTTACTCAAATTCATATAATGAACCAGTTATACGAAACTAATGAAGAGTTCCGTAATCCGATAAAATTGGTTGTCTAATACTTTTGGGTTTGTAATGATTGTGAAACTAAGATTAGTTTTTGATGCTATCTAAAAAAAAAACCTGCCCATCTTTTTCATGTGTATGACATCCGACACTACTTAAATAATAGTCAGTAGCGTGACTAGTCTTAAAATATATTTTTATGACTGGTACAGTGGCACAAGATATTTCTTATCACAATAAAGGGTACAGTTACTAACATTCAATATATTTGATTATTTCAGGGTGTATATAGTCTTGTTCTTGTTATCTATGTGATAACAGAATCACTGCGTTTTCAAACAATCAGTTAGTCAGTCTACAACATAGAACTTCGTACGAACGTGTATCAGTTCAAGTTACCACACTAAACTAGCACACACAGATCGCCTTGCCAATTCAAAACCCCAGAGTAATAGACATAGTAAGGGTATTAGTAGTAATCAAAAAGATTATGGATCGCGAAGATATCATTCGGAAAGCATATCCCAGGGAAATGAATTTAAGAACAGAAAAATAAATTTCATGAGGATCTCAGATTATTAGCATTTGAGAGAACATAAAGAGTGGATGCACCTGCGTCATTGCAAACGATTTTGAACGATGTTATTCAAAGTCTCTAACCATCAGAACCTATCATCTCGCAGACTCCAACTAAGTATGTGACACATACGAACATGACTCAGACCAGTTGTCAGTGACTTTATGGATTTCTGCCACGTTTTGGTTTGGCAGCCCCTAGATTTCTACCAAACTACTCCCAGATCACAAAACATAGCTCGACGAGACAGCCGGTGCTTGGGCATACGTAACACATATCCCAACCACCTCAGCTGACAACGTTTCACTACTTCATCAACTGATCTGCCATCCTTACCTAGCACCTATTTCAAAAAGACGTGACCGATGGATTTCAACCCTGTCGAGTGTAGGCAGTGTCTACCAAAGACAAATGGGTAAGGTCGCACAAAATCCCTAGATCAATCAGAGTTAGATATTAACACCGTTGGATATTAGCCGGCCCAGTGGTCCGATGGTAAGGCGTTCGCCTACAATGCCAAAGGTTCCGGGTTCGAATCCTGCGAGGAGCAGGAGTCGTGGGTGCCCACTGCTGATGAGTTCCATATTAGGACGAAACGGCCGTCCAGTACTTCCAGGTTTCTTTTAATGGTGGTCTAACAATGATTGATTGATGATTTCAAATGTGTAAAAACGCAAACCTCCAAAACTCTGCCCCAAAATTTATCATTAAAATGTAACATAAGATTATTAGAAAAACTATTTTTCGCAGAAAATTTATTTAATACCGACTTACCTGAGTATTATAAATTTCTAATTGTTCAATTAATTCTGCATTTTTAGTTTGTAATGTTTCAATATTCTCTTCTAATTCAGTTATTTGATGTCTATCAAGATAAGTTTTTTTGGAAAAAAAAAGATCAAAGAAACAGAATGAATCAATCAGAAATGAATGGTCAAGTGAAAAGATCACTTGATGACTATCAAAAAATGATATAAAGTGTTACGCCTGCATGTAAACACGTCATTTTTGATATGCTTGAACTATTACGAGTTTACATTAGTCGGGAAACGAGAGTGAGGATCGAAGATCCGGCGACACGACATACTACTCAAATCCGATTATCCCAACCCTCGTATTGAGTAAAAATAAAAAGACTTGATATGAAGTGGAACATGTATTCTACAAGCATCCACAAAGTACGAGGTCCAAGTCCAGAAGAGAATCAGGATCCCGGACTAGGGATCCGGGTCCTGGTCCTGGTCATAAAACGTTACAGATAATGCGTATTTATACATTTAGGTCGAATAGGAAACAACATCGATGTCTGTGGCATTGACAGTTATGACGACCAATAGGAAGCAACATTTGAAGTGACAGTGATAGTCAAGACAACCAATAAGAAACAACATTGGTTCACGTGACATTGATATCTACTAGGACGATCATAAAATTGACCAGTAGGAATTAACCAATAGCAACTGACCAATAATTCTCTTAGGATATTGGATGAATATCCTAACATAAAGGAATAGCAAAAGTCATTATTGGTGTAGGAAATGACTTACATACAGATGACTTACATACTTACTTACGCCTGTTACTCCTAATAGAGAATAGGCCGCAGACCAGCGTATCACCTTTCTGGTTAGCATTTTCTTTTAAAGCGAGTTGGATTCCGACGGGATGAGGTTGATAACCCTGTGCTCAACCTTCCTCCTTTATCCGGGCTCGGGACTGACCGTAACCTTAGAAGGGCTCCAGGAGGAATTGTTTTCTAAGAGGGAAGAATCTATACATTTCAGTTGGTATTTATTACCGCTAATACTTGTACTACCCTTTACTACTATGGTATTTGAATTAACAATTCCATCTCTCTCTGTGTGCTAATGTGGTATAGCAATTTGAACTGATGTACGTACGTACATATGAAGCTCTACGTTGTAGCTGACTAACTGACCGCCTGACTGTTGTAGTATTGACGCAATATGATTTGGTAGCCAAACAGACTTTCTCCTCGACTCTTGGCTTCTCGCTTAGGTGGCCCAGGAAGGGGCGCAGTTTAGCGTACATTACCTTTAAGTCTCGGACAGCATCCATTAAAATCGAGATCATGCGCATATATGAGATCACCTTACTCGGTAAACGGAACTAAAGTCAACGATACAGTGACACGATAGGTTATTCTAATCCGATTGTCCCCGGCCCAGCTAACCATATCAAGAGGTCATGATAAGACGTAGAGAATGTATTCTACAAGCAGCCAGAAAATACGAGGTTGCTAAACACACAAATCAAGCTTATTTATACACTGATAGAAACGCACTTGGTGAGAGCCACGAAAATAGCGTACTGAAATAATCCAGCAATGCAAGCTGAAGGTCAACTGGCGCGAAAACATGGAAATTCAAAATTTCGGGATAAAATTACAAAATCAGGACTGTTTCCAAATGACTTCTGGGGATCTAACGTCCCCAAAGAAAGTAGATGTCAACCGGGATAGGTATAACATGCAGGCATGTATGAACAATGATTATAATAATTTGAAGAGAAAATTTAATAAGAAAACTCAATATTTTTACCGTAATTTTTTCACCAACTCTCTATCACTTTCATACATTGAAGAATTTAATGATGTTGTATCAGTGCAAGAATCATTTGTCTGAAAATTACAACAACAAAAGTAGAAGTTTACAAATGATAACCAATGAGAAATAGTTTAACAACATCTCATAGAAATAGCTTTTTACGGAAACAATCATTGAGAAACACATCAAGTTGTTTCATCCTATATTCGATAAAGATTGGAAGTAGTTTGGCATGAAATCTCTCAACTTGGGTTTTGTGTTGGTCACCATTGTCGGAGAAAAAATGTACATTGAAGCTTGAAAGAAATGATGTTGCCCGAAGGATACAATCACTTATTGCCTGGTTTCAAGGTGACAGATTTTATCACTACTAAAACTATTCGTGCCACAGCTGAACTCTTTGTTAGGATATTCATCCAATATCCTAAGAGAATTATTGGTCAATTCCTATTGGTTAACTCCTACTGGTCAATTTTATGGTCGTCCTAGATATCAATGTCACATGCTCCAATGTTGTTTCTTAATGGTTATCCAGACTATCATTGTCACGTACACCGATGTTGCTTCCTATCTGTCGTCTTAACTGTCAATGTCACGGAATTCGATGCTGTTTCCTATTCGACCAAAATGTATAAATACGCATTATCTGTAACATTTTATGACCAGGACCAGGGCTCGGTCCCGGATCCCTAGTCCGGGATGCTGATTCTCTTGTGGATTCTGACCTCGTACTTTCTGGGTGCTTCTAGAATACAGGTTCTACTTCATATCATGTCTTCTTATTTTAACGAAATATGGGGGTTGTAATAATCGGATTTGAGTAACATGTCATGTCACCGTATCCTCGCTCTCGTTTCCGACTAGGTAAACTCATAATAGTTCAAGTATATCAAGTTGACGTGTTTACGTGTAGGCGTAACACTCTTGATGAGCTAATAAGTATTTATAACTGTTTGACTACTGAATAGTGACTGATGTCATACATGCCAGCCCCTTCATAGTGCTGATTTATGGGTAACGTTTGTGACTGAAAAGTTGAATGACACTAGATCGAAGCCGTCAGTAAATAACTAGTTCTCTCAGGATTACATGTTAACCACATAAACGAGCGGCAAATAGCACAAAACCTAGTTCAAGCAGTGTATCCCAACAAACACCTTCAACTATCATCACCTAATATTTCAACCTGGTGTACATGTGACATCGAATCCCTTAGACTGCAAATGACTTAGCTCATCTGACTAGTAATATTATGTAACTATTATGCAACAAAACATCAATACTACACATTTCATTTCTGACATTTTAAGACATCATCGGGGTCAAGAAGTTTCTATAATCCCAAACAAACTTGTAAGATTTATGTGTTCCGAATTATATTACTTATAAGTAGCTAGTATTTTATTCGAACAATATTTTGTTCCGATCTCATTGGTTGTTTAGATATTTACGCGCTATTTTTCTATTGATCGGTATAAAAATTGGTCATGTTTGTCTAAATCCTTGTGTTTACGTAATCATTTTCTGTAGCAAGTTACATGGAGTGGACAGAGGGAGCATTCCGATTGAACAGTTTTTTTTCAAGCATTACTCTGCTTGATTATTTAAAAGAATTACTAAAATCAAACAAATAACTCAATTCTTGAAAGTCTCGTTTTCAGCTAACCTGAATGATCCTTTGAAAAAGGTTACACACTAATTAGGAGACTATTTATCCCGTGAGGATTGCCCCAATCAAAATTGCTGCCTTCCATACATTCTTATTGAAATAGATAAGCTTATGGATAGTAATAAAATCTATGATGTTTGTTTTGTCTCATTTACGCTCATATACAAGCTCTCTAATCGAACAAGATTGACCGAGTTACAGCTAATGGCCATCTGTCATCAGAATTGATTACTTCAAGTGGTGTTCAGTCAGTCAGTTGCAACGTAGAACCTCGTACGTAATTACATCAGTTCAGGTTGTCATACAACATTAGGACAGAGACGCAATTGTCAATTCAAATCCCATATTAGTAGAGATAGTGTAAGTACTACTGGTAAAGGAGAAGTTTAGGGTTCCAAGATATTACTGAAGACGTATAACTAAGTGAGATAAGTTTAGAAAGACAAAGATAGAGGTGTTGACGAATCCAGAAGATTAGAATTTGAGAGAACACAAAGAGTGAATGCACCTGCGTCATTGCAAACGGTTATGAGCCATGTCATTCAAGGTCTCTAACCATCGGTGACTTTCGTCTCGTGGACTCCAACCAGGTAGGTAGCCTACATCTACCAATATGAGTCAAGTGGTGTTCGTCAGGGATGTTCATTTTCCCCATTCTTGTTTAACTTTATCATCAACGTGCTTTTAGATACGACACTTTCATCATCTGACTTTTCAGGAGTTGAACTTTTACCGGGAGATTCAATTGCCGACGTAGAATATGACAATGATATAGTTCTACTAGGTGAAGACGCTGACAGAATGCAGTGTTTTGAATACCTCAAGCAACAATGCAAGCATGTTTGGGCCATGCTAGTAAGTGTAGACTACCTGACTGGGATCCGTGAGATGATAATAATCGATGGTTAGAGACCTTGAATGACATGGCTCAAAATCGTTCGCAATGGCACATTTGCATCCATTGCTTGTCTTCTCTCAAATCCTAACCTTCTGAATTCCTCACCACCTCTACCTTACTTTTTAAAGTTTATTTCACTAGATTCTACTTCTAGAATAATACCTTCAAACCCTAATCACTCCGATTACTGCCAATACTTCTACTACCTTTACTACTATAGGATTTGAATTGACAATAGCATCCCTGTGCTAATGTGGTATGGCAACTTGGACTGACGTACATTCGACGAAGTTCTACGTCGTAACCGACTGACTTACTTACAACTTGTGAGTGACATGTACTCAGGTTTATATTCATTCAACACTAAGACTTGAACCTAACAAAATTGTCACCGTCAAATGTCACACACAGTCATTTGATTTCAAATGATCTCAACAGCTACTATTCTATTTGAAACCATGAATCGATCAATGTTAGACCACGATTAGAAACCTGAAAGAAGCACTGAACGGCCGTTTCGTCCTGGTATTGGACTCATTAGCAGGGTGCAGGAGTCGTGGATGCGCACTGCCACTGATGAGTACCATACCAGGATGAAACGGCCGTCTTTCAGTGCTTCTTCCAGGTTTCTAATGGTGTTGGTCTAACATTGATCGATTCATGATTTCAATGAGAAACTTAACAATCTTCACAACAACCCCGCAATGCAGCTACTATTCTCCCAGTAATCTAACAAAACTCACATGTTTTTTATTTATCAGAAACGTTTCAATACAATATGTAAATATACACATGTAAACTTACTTTATTTACTGTTTCAGTAAATTTAAATAAATTATTTAAACAAATTGTATATTGTTGATAAATTTCATTGAAATCATTAAAAAATTTATTTAAATTTGACATAGATTTTTGATATTCCAATGGTACAGTAAATAAATCATTTTCATGTAATGTATAACTATGCAATAAATTTTGACATAAATTATTTTCCTATAAAAATAAAAGAAAGAATAACAATAATAATTGAGATCAGGGTTGTACAATAAACTTGCAATTAATTCAAGTTACACATAAACGCTGTTGAATGCTGACGATTCAGTGGTCTAAGGGTTAAACGTTCGCGCACGAGATGGAAGGTGCTAGATTCGAATTCATGCGAATACCGCGAGTTGTGGGTGCGTACTGCGGATGAGTCTGATACTAGGACGAAACCGTTATTTAGTGCCTCCACATATAATAATTCCAGTTCGCTTACATTTCATTTGGTTTAGCCATTTCGATTAATTTATTTAACCAAGCCATTTGTATTGGGAGCAACAATTTAAATGTTGTACCATTCGTTCTTATTATTATTGTCTGGTTTGGATGATGAGCTCACATGACGTGTCTCACCACTTGTCATCATTTGACCTTGTCAATCATTCGTCACTTTTATTCATGTGTGTGCATGTCTGTCACGTTGGTGATAGGTCTGTCTTATTTTGGTCTGACTATATATGTTCTTAGTCATGCTCTATCTCTTGGAGTTGGCTCAACAGCCTTCTTCAACTCAAGTCGCTTCATTCGTTTTATTCACTGCTTCTCTGCTTTGCTTTGTGTGATGTGTCCCAAATAAACGTATTCAACACTATGAGTTCACCTTCTGATTTATAAACCGTCAGACGCTATTTAGTAACGATCGACTAGACGAGATAATTACCGAGCTTTAGAACACACGCAGTAAATCGACACACTACAAATGGTGATCCCGAGTTGACTCATTAGCCTTCTTCAACGCGCTTCGCCTGTTCATTCGCCTACTCGCCCATTCGTTCGCATTGTAATCCTAGGAGTTGGCTTATTAGCCTTCTCCACATCGCTTCATACGATTCGCTTCAGTTGCTCATTCGCTTGCCAGTGTACACGACAGGTTATTTAGTGCCTCCAGGTTTTTAATGTTGGGACTAACAATGATTGCTTTGTGATTTCAGTAGAACTGAACAATTTTTACAACTAGATGATAGTAATGATAATAATAAGTATTTAACAGGAAAATTAAATTTGCACAAAATGAGATAAGTGATTTTCATAAAATCGATCAAATGATTTTTTAATGAAATTTTATTCCTTAAACTGAACTGTTTACTCGGCGGTACGCCCAACCGTCTTGACGAGTGATGTTTTGTGGTGTAGCGGTAGGTTGGAAGAAAGCTTTGAGGGGACAAATCCAAAACATGAAACAAATTCATGAAGTCATTGACAACCGGCTTGAGACATATTATTAGGTGTGTAGGACTGAGTGGTTGAGGTCCGCGAGATGAAAGTAACCGCTGGTTAGAGACCTTGAATGACATGGCTCAAAATCGTTTGCAGTGGCGCAGGTGCATCCATTCTTTGTCCTCACTCATATTCTATACATCTGAATTCGTCATCACCTCTATATTTCTCTTTCTAAATTTATTCCACTGAATGGTATTTCTTGAATAGTATCTTTGAACCCTAATCTCACTGATTACTGCTAATACCTCTACTATCTCTACCACTATGGGATTTGAACTGAAAATTGCGTCTTTGCGCTAAAGTGGTATGGCAACATGCACTTATGTATGTACGTACGTACGAAGTTTTACGTTGTAACTGACTGTTTACACGTAAAGCTTCTATTGTCGCACCACGACTCATACAACATGACCAAGAAAGCGAACTACGAAGCAACAGACCTGCAGTAAGCAATGCTATAGTTATGAAAAGGTAACAGATTGGTTAATCAATGGATGAAGGAGTGAGACTTCATCAGTTCAGATGACTTGAACAGTCTGGATAGATTCCATCGAGGTTCATTCATCAGAATATTATTTAAGAAGTATAATCCAGTGACAGTCAGTTGCAACGTAGAACTTCGTATGTATGTACATAAGTTCAGGTTGCCATACCACATTAGCATAGAGACGCAAATGTCAAATCCAGTGAAATAAATTTAAAATAGAAATAATGACCATGACGAATTCGGATGATTAAAATTTGAGAGAAGATAAATAATGGATGCATCTGCGCCATTACAAACGATTTCCAGTGATGTCATCCAAAGTCTCTAATCATCGTTTCTGATAGTCTCGTGAACACCGAACATGAAAGTATACACCTACTACCAAAATGGCTTAGTCCAGTTGTCAAATGACTTATGAATGACTTCATGGATTTGGGCCACCCTGAGCGATGGTAACGCCACCGAGGAGCTTGTTCAACTCTTCGTCGTTTCGGATGGCCAATTGAAGGTGGCGTGGGATAATAAGGGTCTTCTTGTTGTCACGAGCGGCATTGCCTGCCAACTCGAGAACTTCAGCCGCCAGGTATTCAAGGACAGCTGCGGGGTAAACAGGGGCACCAGCACCGACGCGTTCAGCGTAATTACCCTTGCGAAGCAGACGATGAACACGACCAACCGGGAACTGGAGACCAGCACGGGCTGACCTGGTTTTCGCCTTGGCTCGAGACTTTCCACCTTTACAGCGTCCACCCTTTGTCAGTTAGAGCAGAGAAACGTGCACACCGTATTAAGGTATGCACTTAGACATGCATGGCTTAATCTCTCAAACAAGCATATGACTACTGGCAGGATCAACCAGTGCCTCTGGCTTTCTTTTCTGACCTACACTTACACTACAACACATCGCTCACCATGGCAGTCAGTGGTTTGGCATTCATAATACATGTCCCTGTTAGGATATTCATCAAATATTCTAAGAGAACTATTTTTGGAAGTCTAGTTCTATTGGTCAATTCCTACTGGTCAACATTATGGTTTGCATTACGGGGTTGTGAAGATTGTTAAGTTACACATTTTTTGAAACCATGAATCGATCAATGTTAGACCACCATTAGAAACCTGGAAGCACTGACAGACGGCCGTTTCGTCCTGGTTAGGGACTCATCAGCAGTGCACATCCACGACTCCTGCACCCCGCAGGATTCGAACCCAGGACCTTCGGTATTGTGCGCGAACGCCCTAACCGTTAGACCACTGAGCCGGTATCTAACAGTGTTAATGTCTAACTTGATCAAATTTACGGAGTTGCGCAACCTCATACACAGTCTTCCGTAGTAGTTACTGTCTACACCCGAACAGGTTGAACTTCACTGGTCACGTCTTCCCACTAGAACTCATGGGAGAAGATTCCTCACGAAGCTAGTCACTAGTGAGCACAGGTAATTTGCATTACGGGGTTGTCCTAACTGTCAATGTCACATACTTCAATGTTGTTTCCCATTGGTCGTCCTAACTATCAAAGTCACAGACTTCAGTGTTGTTTCCTATTCGACCAAACTGTATAAATATGCATTAACTGTAAAGCTTATGATCCCATTTATTCCTTCCTTCATTTCCTTCTGTACTCGACCCCATAAACAACTTCACCTAACGGTGTTGTGTTCTGATATATATATATTGGAGATTTGGGAATAGTATTTGGCGTCGTAAAGGAATATCTGAATTTGCTACATAGCAGCAGTCCCAACCACAACAAGTATGATTAAAAGCACTTTTCTCCATAAAAACACATAAACTTAAAAAAACCACACACACACATAGTTTACCTTGGTTAACAATGGAACAATTTGACTAAATCTTGTATGGAATTGTTTTAAATCTTGCAACTGGCATGTAATAGTCTGTAAATGATTGTTTAAATGCGCTGCATTCGTTTGAGTTTCTTTTAAAATTGTAAATAATTCTTTATTTCTAAAAATAAAGATTGAAAAAAAATGATTATCAATAATTAGAGATGAAGTTTATAGGATAGATAGTTGTGGTTCATGCCACCCCACAACTTTTCAGTTTTAAATTAAGCTTAGTCTGATCTATTTTGTTGTATGTAAAAGATAGTAAATACTGTTTGTTTGTAAATCTCTTAGTGAGACTTGACCGTTAAGAGTAGAGGACTTTCGTACGTTACTAGTATTCGATCATCGATGTCTCCGAAGCATTGCTCGTGTATCATGGGACAACCGTATAAGCAATGCTTCTAAACATCAGTTACTATTGTTTAGCGAACCCCAACCAGGTAGTATTCTACAGCTACTGCCAAAATGGCTCAGTTCATTTGTCACTGACTTCATGGATTTGTGCCATATGTCGGCCCGGCCACCCCTAGCTTTCTTTCAGCCTAACCCACACCTAACATCATCGCTCGCCTAGGCACGTAACTCATGTCCCAATCACCTCAACTCATGAAGTTTCATTACTTCATCTATTGATCTGCCATTCTTACCTAGTACTCGTTTCCTAATAAAAGCGTTGCTTACTCGGGTGTCCCAGGATATACGAACAATGCTTCGAAAACACCAATGATCGAAAACCAATAACCGACGAATATCTACTCTGACTGGCCATGTTTCACAGCCATAAAGTAAGACGGAGCGAACTGCTGCGCAGTACACTCGTCCTTTAGTCAGCTAACGGATATCTCGCCTACTTACTCCATAAGTGACGCAGGTTGGCAAAAGCTAATCGAGCCTTCTGTATCTGTGCTGAGATGTCGTCAGTCACTGTAAAAGAAAAGATTCATTCAAAAATAGATCAATATATACACTAACTTTGTATTGATTTCGCCTTGTTCCGCTAGTAGAACTTCATTTTCACGTTCTAATCTTCTAAGAGCTGATATAGAAGGAGAAGAACAGCGATTCTCTGATGAAGGTGAACAAGTTTTCGTTATTAAACTATTATTATTCATCAGTGTTTCTTTTTCAAGTAATGTATTCTCAGCAATCAATGCTCGTTCACGCCATTTTTTTAAAATTTCCACTTGATTGCGTAATTCCGAATTCTCCTCTTCAGTGATAAGCCATTTTGCACGTTCTTGACTAAGAGTTTTAAACGAAGCTTTTAAACGATCATGTTCCATTTCTAATTTTGCCATATAACTAGCACCTTTCATAAAACGATCATAACCATCGGGCATTTTAGTACGATTTGATTCTAAAAGAAGACGTTCTTCCAAAATTGCTTTCTCTGATGTTAACTTCTAAATATAGGGGTGAAAAAATAAATAAAATCTTTTCAATGAAAAATTTCATTACGATAATTTTAAAATATGTCATGAATATGACCGAATTACTATATAATTAATTGATATGAAGACGTCAGCAGTGACACACACACACACACACAAAATTGTAACAGATAAGTTGTTACAACGTTCACGAATGTGCGCATAAGACATGATATCAAAGTAGGTGAATAGTATGGAAGCCCTGACAAAGTGATCGGAGAATACAATGACAGAATCAAAAAAAATTCATTACTTGTATATCGTATCAAAGAGATAAGACTGCAAAGCGGGGTGGGCCTTCTATCAGGAGATTTATTGGTTGACTTACAATATACCGATGACACAGGTCGACTTGGTGAAGACGGTGACGAAATGCAGAGTCTTTTGAGCACCCTAAGCAACAATGCAAGCATGTTCGGGATGCGGTTCTCACTCTCAAAATGCAAAATGTTGCTTCAGGATTGGCTTGCGTCGGCAGCTGAACTAGTGATAGGGAGTGAAGTAGTTGAGTGTGTCGACCGCTTCACTTATCTGGGGGGTCTCATCAGTGCTGATGGCCTGGTGACTGACGAAAGCTCAGCTCGGATACAAAAGGATTGATTGGCTTTTGCCAAATTACGTCACTTATTGTGTAGGCAAGATATCCATTTGCTAACCAAAGGTCAAGTGTACTGCGCACTAGTTCACTCCATCCTACTTTATGGTCGTGAAACATGGCCAGTGAGAGTAGAAGATATTCGTAGGTTACTGGTTTTCGATCATAGGTGTCTCCAAAGCATTGCTCGTGTATCATGGAACAAACGATTAAACAATGCTGTCGTTAGGAAACGAGTACTAGGTAAGGATGGCAGATCAGTAGATGAAGAAGTGAAACTTCATCTGTTGAGGTGGTTGGGACACTTGTTACGAATGCCTAACCATCGACTGCCTCGAGGAGCCCTGCTAACTAGATCGAGAAGTCTTGATAAGGCTTAGAAAGTGTATTCTACAAGCACCCAGAAATACGAGGTAGACAAACACACATATCCAGTTTATTTATACATTATAAAAACGTCTTTGGGAGGACCACATAATAGCGTACTAAAATAGTACATCAACCAATGACAGTCAAGGATTTTCCAAGTGGGAAATGTAACCTGAAGGCCAACTAAGCAACTTATGTGAGAACCTTTATCAAGTGAGTTCTGGGCATCTAACATCCCCAACAATCTCTAATCATCGATTGTGCATAATATGCACTATGCACAACATTTTGTATTGTAAAGACAATTCAAGTTTCATAAATATATGTAAAACCAATGATAGAATGAACTATACTATGAATAGAAATGCACTGAAACAACAGACAGACAGACAGATGCAACGTAGAATTTCGTACGTCCGTACGTACATCACTTCATGTCGCCACATACCACATCAGCACAGAGATGCAATTGTCAATTCAAATCCAATTGTAGTAGAGGTAGTAGAGGTATTAGAAGTAATCGGAGAGGTTACGATTAGAACATATTATTCAAGAAGTATGATTCAGTGAGAAAAGTTTAGAAAGCAAAAACTAGAGGTGTTGAAGAATCCAGAAGATTAGGATTTGAGAGAACACAAAGAATAAATGCACCGGCGCCATTGCAAACGGTTTTGAGCCATGTCGTTCAAGGTAGTCGACAATTACCAACATAGCTAATTCCACTCGTCAGTGAATTCATGGATCTCTGCCATGTTTTGGTTTGGCCGCCCCTAGCTTTCTTCCAACCTACTCTCCTACACTACAAAACAAAGCTCGTCGAGGCAGTCGGTGGTTAGGCATACGCAACACACATGTCCCAACCACCTCAACTGATGAAGTTTCACCACTTCATCTATTGATCTGCCATCCTTACCTAGTACTCGTTTCCTAATAACAGCGTTGCTCACTCGTATGTCCCAGGATATAGCACTGAAACAACGATCATCAGCTCTAGAAGAAGAATGCTACTACAAAAAAGGAACACCCACAAAAATGTACACTAGACTTACAAAAACAGTTGATTTTAAATTTGTTAATTCTTTCAATTCGGTGGATTTTTCTTCCATATACGCTTCTAGTTCTTTCAAACGCCTTAATAATAAGAAAAAAATTTTCTACGAAACATTCCATTCTTACTGTGAACGTAATTCTAACAAAGCTTCTAATTCTTTGACTCTCATTTGAAGTTGAGAATGAGCACTTTGTAAATCAGTAAATTGTTTTTCATAATGCAATACTTCATCTCTTAAACGTTCAGTTTCCTGAAATTGTAAAAAAAAGAAATGAATTTTTGAGGAAAATATTATGATTCGCCTTTTTTTTCAGATTATTAACTATAATGGTAATGATTTGATTGTGATCAATTTGGTTTTGTGTGTAGTTACGACTGTGAGGGTAGATGTCACTTTAGAGTTGTCCACACCGTGGAAGAATATTTTATGAAGAGACTGAAAAGGAAGTTGGATTAGTGTTGATCTTGGAGACCTAGATTATGAAAATGTCAACATCTGGAGGGAAGCACGGTATCAACTGGACAGTTAGGACGCAGCTGGACGATCTGGACTTCGCAGATGACCTGGCTCTTCTATCGCACACGCAACAACAAATGCAAGAGAAGACGACCAGTGTAGTATTAGCCTCTGCAGCAGTAGGTCTCAACATAGATAAAGGAAAAAGCAAAATTCTCCGATGCAACACAACATGCACCAACCAAATCACTCTTGATGGAGATGCTTTCGAAGACGTTAACACCTTTACATATCTTGGCTGCATCATCGACAACCAAGGTGGATCCGATGCAGATGTGTGGGCGCGGATTGGCAAAGCGAGGGCTGCATTTCTACAGTTGAAAAATATCTGGAACTCCAAACAACTTTCAACCAAAACCAAAATCAGGATTTTCAATACAAATGTCAAGACAGTTCTACTGTATGGAGCGGAAACATGGAGAACTACGAAAGCCATCATCCAGAAGATACAAGTGTTTATTAACAGCTGTCTACGCAAAATACTTCGTATTCGTTGTCCAGACACCATCAGGAACAACGTACTGTGGGAGAAAACAAACCAGATTCCAGTGGAGGACGAAATGAGGAAGAAGCGGTGGAAGTGGACAGGACACATACTATGAAAAGCACCTAACTGCGTCACGAGACAAGCCCTCACATGGAACCCTCAAGGCAAAAGGAAAAGAGGAAGGCCAAAGAATACATTACGCCGAGAAATAGAGAAAGATATGAGAGGAATGAACAAACATTGGACAGAACTGGAGAAGGAAGCCCAGGATAGAGTTGGTTGGAGAAAACTGGTGGGCGGCCTATGCTCCATTGGGGGTAACAGGCGTAAGTAAGTAAGTTGGAGACCTAGGAGCGTGACAGTAAAGTCCATGGGACAGATGCTTGAAACTCTTCGCGCACGGCCTTTTATGAGACGTTCTGGAAGTGTTAACCCCACTCTTCAAAATGGCCTTACCATCAGAGACGTAACTCCGTTGGATAAGGTGAGGTGTGGTATTTTTAGGGTCGACCTTTTCAAACCCCCATCCTTCCTTGTGAGAAGGCAGCATCGCTGTAGATGTTGCATAACACTACTATCATGTATATAGCGTATAGAGTTGTGATGAACTATTATCAGACTTACCGACCGTAGCTGCTACCTTGACGTGGTGGTCGGGTATGCCTATCGTGATGACCCAACCGAGCTATACTGGATGGAACATATGTTCCTGCAGGTCCTACCATGCCAGGCAGGTCGATTGGAGAACGATCAGACTAAAAGCAGCTACCCAAGGTCTGAGGGCGAAGTCGTACTGCTGACTGACTGCAGGGGGTGTGACAGCAGTAAGGTGTTTCCCTTGGACAACCAGCATCTGCAGCGATGATGACTCCTCACAAGGAAGGAAGGGTTAGAAAAGGTCGGCCCTAAAAATGTCACACCTCCCCTAACTCACGGATTTCCGTCTCCTTGGGTAAGGGTGCCCACTAAGGGCCTTTAAGAATGGAGCTAATCCTCAAAATACCTTTAAAAAAAGGCCGTGCATGACCGGCCTCAAGCAGTTGTCCCTTAGGCTCTGCGGTCACGCTCCCAGGTCTTCAAGACCAACACTAATCTATCTTCCTTTTCAGGTCCCTCAAGAAACAACCTTCCACGGTGTGGGCAGCCGGGAAGTGACAACCGCCCTCATACCCGTAACAGCACGAGAGACCAATCTGACTGATTATCAAACGTACTGAATAAAAATAGATCATACTGTTAGCCGGAGCTTGAATCCATTGCTTGATGGTTTAATATTATGCACAGACAAGCGTATAGAAAAAATCCACCTTCAACAGTAACATTTTAACATAGAAAGAAGCATACTAATCTATTTCAAATAAAAACTTTACAATACTTAATACTTTAAACAGTAACTATATGAACAAAACCTAACTGAGAACCGCAATGTTGTGTAGGAATTCGATAACGATTGTATGAAATTAATAAACGCAATTCAGTACAAATGAAAATATACTCACTAAAGTCAATGAAGACCCCAAACTACTGGATGATTGAAGTATAGAATTTATACGTTCATCAAGGTTACGTTGAAAGCTTTTCATTTTCGATTGATCATGGCTTCTTTCAAATTCTAACAGCTGATATTTTCTTTTCAAAGAATTATGTTCGTTAGCTAAGTTATTCTTTTCTGATTCAATAATCTAGGAAATTTTTATGTAAACAACTTAACATTACCTCTTTTTCAGTTTTTAAACTTTTTATTTTAGACTCGTGTTTAATTTGAGCGGTCGATAGTGCAAATTCACTTGATGTCCTTTGTGCACGGACGATGGATAGTTCAGATATTAAATCTGAACCTGAAACATTTCAATAATCAATCTGAAAACACAATTACCATCTATACTTTGGCTTGTATGACGATCACGAGGGTCAAAACGGGAGATACTCCTTTCATCAGCCATATCAGTGTACATTGAAGAGCCTAGAACAATAAGTGGAACATTTATTCACGATTGTAACTAGTTTATTTTGGAAATGCAAGATGACAGTAAACTTTCTCATCATTAAACAATAATTGATAACTTGAAGAACTGTGTTACTACAATATTAGGAAGCATAAGTTTATTCACTGAAAGATACTATGTTTTCTGTGAACCGGAGTGAAGGCTTTATCTAACTATAGGTAATAAACCAGTCATTATGATTGTAATTCATGGGTAAAACCAACGAGTTAGAATACAGCCTTTTGTATTTTAGGGGGAAATTCACTCATCTATACGGTAATGAGATTCCTGCTTATAACATTATGCCAAATCATAATCAATATCGATCCTTATTTCTGGTACCTAGGAATTATTATCAAGCGTTGGATAAAATAGGAATAACATAAACTGATAGCACCGGTTAATGGAAGTCGACATCCCAACCAACTAATATACTATTGCTATTGTATATGCGATTACTTGAATACTTAGAGCTGGTTGCGTAGTACAGGAGATTACATAATATACATAGGTTGTGCCAAGATTTCAATGACATCCCTTTCACTTTAGCTTCTTTTTCTTGATATACTTTGGTTCTCAATCAACTCTGACAAACTAAACTGCTACTCATAATGTATTCAATGATAATCAAACTACTTGGTGGCATAAACCACCGATTATAGTTCTTAATGAAATTTCTTTTGATATACAAAGTGTTGCAGTCGTAAATTCACATAAAATAGGCTGTGGTAAGTGACTAGAACATTTTATTGTAAAATAAGACTGAAGACACCATTGATATGTGAAAAACACCTACTCCATTGTAAAATAGTACTATCATGAAAAACTCCTAACTGTACGCCACCATTAATGATGATGTCGTCACAGGAAACATGCTAATTTTTGAAAAATAAACAGCATTGTTTAGGAAAGCGTTAATTATCAGATGAACGCAATACTTATCCTGATCGTCAACAGAATTTAGGCGGATGATTGCCGGTTTGTTTGAAGAGATAATGAAGATTTGACTGCAGTCTTTGGTGCATTTGTGTTTGTCCTGAAGCTACCTTGTGTACTGGATAATGTTAGGAGAGCAGTATGTAAGTTATTTAAAATAGGAAAGAACAAGAGAAAATGTGAGTCGATGACTCAGTAAGTATACAAAATGCACTTACTTTTGAGAGGTGAAGCGATCAATAAAAATCAAAGATAACACAAGAGTAAGCTCAAGACATGCTGATATTCGAAACTTAGGGTTGGTAGCGTTTAATTTTGAATGAGTTACGATTAATTTGACCTTCAAACCCAATATTCAACATATTTTTCATAAGCTAGCATAAACCAACTTATTTATTTCCACTCAATTCTTGTTCTTTTGGCGCGGCTGCAGGTATTTGTTAGTTATAAGTTGATAGTAGTCTGCAATAATTCTATTCAGATGACAATGCCTTATGAATTTGTCCCACGATTTGAGTGAGTAAGTTAGTCACAATTCATTTAGGTTTCTGGATACCAGCTGCTGCCAAGTTGTCAGGCTTGAGATCATTTGACTTTCTGCGTCACATGGAGTAAAATTATCATTACTTGGTATTTAAACTGGAGAAGTTTTGATCCGATGTCTAGTGTCCATTCCTCTTTTGTCGTAAGGCCCTTTTTATGCTCTTCCCTGTTTATGCACCTGCAGATCTTTACATCTGCATAGATTAGAGCCACTAATCTATTGTTATCTTGCAAGCCTGTTGTGGATCCACTTTTATGAACAGAATGCCACTGTTTAATATCAACATTCCTTATTATAACCACCTGTGCCAGAGATTGTTTTACTGAACCTCTTCGTTTATTATTGTCTGCATACGCAAACTTTACATTTGTGTTGCGACCATTTCGGCTCCACTGTCTCTGTAATCTCGCCCCTTTTTTCTGGCATGACTTTGATATTCTTTCAATACTACGAAATCGCCAACCAATATATTCTTTCCTACGGAATAACCCCTCATCTCAGTAACGGGGTCGTATTAAGTATTTAGTGGTAATCACAGTCAATATCGACTCGATCGCCACTGAAAGTCAACAGTAAATGTCAGCAAGAGGAGTGAATCTAAGACTGTCTTCAGTGGAACTCCTCATGTTGAGACTGACCAGCTGGCCCACGCTAATTAAAATGAAACGAAACTTCCTGTTCTCGGAATAGTTTTCGAGACCAGTGAGTGCCTAAACAGACCACAAAGCAAGGTACTAAGGGCTTCACCAGGCCGTTTCAGGATTACAGGGTGAATGTATTCATACCATGTTATCCTTCTTGAGCTCATAAACTTTAGTTTACTTAGCACTGATTAAAGAGTAGGTCAGATAATCTTACGACCATAGGCTTGGGCTAGGTTTGGGATTACTGTGAACTTTTAGGTATCTGGCTTCACTCATCTGTTTAGTTGGTGTTAAATGCCTCAAATATGTCACGGTTGGTAAGATATTCGCCATTTAAACCTTTGAGAGCACAAACTCTTTGGTTCGCAAGTTTTTTTTTAGTTATCAGCCTAGTGGCTTTGACTGGAAGTAACTCTTATTGCTTCGAAATTCGACATTTCATCCATTTCTCAATGCCAAGTAAAACCTATAGTCGGAATCCTTCAGAGAGACCTTTCACTTGTTCAGGACTCTCTTATACGCCTGGAGCAAGCGTTTAGCTCTTCGCTTAACCCATGTTTTTCTCTTTGATTTTCATGAGGTACATCACGTAGTATAACATTCTGAATGATGTTTCTCACTGTTAATGATAATAATGATAATTTATTCTAAAATAATAACATGTTTCAAGAGGCATGCCAATTTACAGGTTACATCGATGTGCTTGGATTGATAATATATTTTTTACAAAAGGTTGTTCAGTTACTGAATCATTTCACAAGGTACATCGGCTTCAGATAGATGGCTAAAATTTTCCACATGAAATCATTGATAATTTTCCAGACTCTGCAATGTACAATGCGAATAACTGGCGCGAGTTACGACGGTTACGTTACGACGAACTACTAATGACTGCTAAACAATGCAACTTAGTGCCAGGTCTGCATATGACAAGAATTGATAAGGTAAATGTGCTAAATATCCACGTAGAATATCGCACTGCTGTTAAGTTAACTAATGGCATAATACGAAAGGTATGGGCCAGTTAATAGGTAGTTTGGGGATAGGAAAAACAGACAGCTAAGGAAAGAAAATCGAGGGAAAATAGTGTTCAAAATCATGAGTAAGGCGATAAATAGGTAAACAAGCAAGGTGTTTGGGTGGTAATGAATTGGGGAAATAAAAATGTATTAAGCTGTTAATACGTGAACAAGAAGGAACTCACAATGATATATCAAGTTTGAGTTACTTGTAATTGACAGTAGTTGATCAGCATCTACAGGCTTTTCAATTTGTCTGTCTCTGAAGTTCACAGCCATTAGACACGAATACTTCATAGTTGTGAAACGTAACAGACAACTCAAACGGGAAACGCTAATTGCTTTGGTAGTGTTAAGGATTATGTTACATGATATTCAGCTCCATTCTATGTGGACTTCATCCAGTTTAACGTCAATGGAGTTGATACTCGCCCACAGTCTTAAGCACACACCTTTCTAGACATAATTTTGCCGTTTCTAAATTGTATTTCAGATCATATTTGACGTTGTCTTGGATGTTGCACTCAATGATGTTGTTGTTTGGCGAATTCTTTGGTTTCCGTTAGAATCCACCTTGTAGTGAATTATCTGTGCTATGGTTAGGTGATATATAGAGATATGTTTCAGTTGCTAGTCATCAGCAACAATATCTTCGAGTGCAAATTTAACGGTAACTGAGAATCAATAATTATAGTCCAGAAGGTAAGATCCAGTGTCTGTCTCCGAGAGTTTGAATAAATGTTTCCACCCCATGATCAGAGGTTAGTACCATTCAGCTAAATTACGCTATAACCTTGAGTTTGGTCAAATACGAAGGAGTTGACGACATTGGTCTTGTTTATTCATAATAATATTCCTTGTTTGTATTTCAGGGAACTGAATTTCATGACTGGAATTCAGAATCAGTGATAAAATCTGATGGAAGCATGGATAACATTGGTTATTGTCACTATTATATGAATGGCTCTAATTAGTATCGTGGCAATATTTTGTACCAGTGAAGTGAATGTTTGATTATTGAATAACGTTCCGTATCAATGTTCTGGATCTGGTAGTCGGGAATAATTAATTACACCATTTTTTGTTCTCAATTTAGGTATAAATAATCTAAGCGCAACACAGTAGCTGGCAATATGCAATATTTAATGAAATAATAAATGTAAATATTAATCCGATCTAATAATAAAGACCTGGCTGAAGAATACTGAAGAATACGAATATGGCTACAAAAGTCCTAAGAAAATTTGGAAACAAGATAAGGATTTTCTGAGTATTCATCCTATCACAACAAATAACGTTCACTAAATGTCATATCCCATACACCATTTTGATCCGATTTGATAATCCATTAATACTGCTAGCTTTGCTTGGAAAGATGGTGTTCAACCGAAATGGACGTATGGTTGTTAACAAACAGATTGGTAACTTCAATGCTGCAACTCCGTTGACAAAGATTTCAATAATGGTGGAACATGATTTGTTACATCCCCCTTTTCAAATGATCTTTATAACTCTTTTCCATCCCATTTTCTTGTTTGTGCCTTAAGAATGGTCATATTATTGAATCAGCACTGTTACACGCGTCAGAACATTATTATCGTCGGATCTTGTGATGATTTTACTTTTGCGAAGAAAAACAAGATAGATTAAATAGCAAAATTCATACTATAAACAGTTGTACCAGTTAATGTCTTAACAAGTATCTGCTGATTCGTACTTCTATTCGTTATATATACATATACTGACATTGCACTAAGGTCACTCAGCTACATTTTCCCGGTCGCCATCTTGTATTCGTTGCACTGTACCGCCACTTATTATCTGGCACGTTTTATTATTTCTTCGAAACCACGAACTGATCAGCAAACACACCCATTTCATGTGGTCTATCCCGTCTCCTCCCTTCCGATAAAAGATCCGAGGTAACGATTGGTATCCGAACTGAATTGGTCTATGGGAGTTTCAATAGCTTCTCGACTTCAATATCTTTAATCTCATGATAATAATTACAACAGTAGATATTATGCCATAATTTCAAGTAAGTGATGCCGAAATCCCTTTTAGAATCATGTAACTCAAACGAATTTTCAATGAAAATACATCATTTCAGTAAGTTTCAGTTTGGAATGGACAAGAAGCTAATTTGCCTGTGTTAGTTCTAGCGAGTTGGAAATCTCTGTTGATCCATCTTAAATGCATCAAAAGTTGGAACTTCAGTCACATATTGTGGTAGTGAGTTCCACTCACTAAAGATTCGATGAGAAATTCAGTAGTCGGCTGACAAACAACATTTTATGGGCCTACGGACGTTTCTAGAGCATGTTGGCAAATTCTTTGTTATGGAACGAGAGAGAAATTGGAACACGCCAGATCCAAGTTTATCTTTATATATTTAAAAGACCTTAAATATGCCACCTCCAGTCCACCGACATGCTTAAGGAATCAGGTCTAATTTTTCAGTCTCGCTTCATACAGCAGCTTCGCAATTTCGGAAAGCAACTTAGTTGCGGTTCTTTGAACCTTTACAACATCTCATTGCATGTAGGTGTCTATGCATTACTAAACTTTATGATGGACGAACATTGTATACAGGGTTAAAATATGATAATAATTTATTCTTAGCACAGACATGGCAAAAGGCGTTACGCATTGATATTTAGTGGCTGTCGCAAGTTATTGTATAGTGGTTCTCAATTCTTGCTTAATGATGACACCTAGGTCACTGAGAGAGTGGATAATAGGTAGTGTAATTGGATTTTCTACCGTAGCAGTTCAATTCGATTCCAACAGACGTATGTTGGACGCACTCTCCGATTTAGAATATAAAAACACAATAATTCTAGGAGAAAATGGTCTATTAATAGAGAATAAATGGAAATACAAACGTTACCTAACAAATTTTACGCCTTCCAATTCAAAATTACTCTGAATGAGTATCGAGGTTTCGAAGACTAGGTGAACTCCTATACCGCACGATATCAAATCCAAAAATGTGGCTGTAGCCATATTATATCAAATTTAAACAACATATGTACAGTTCAGAAGCGAACATAAAAACTTCAATATAAGTACAAAATATAGAAATAATAACAATATACAATGATAAAATCTCAAATTGGAATCAAATAAAATACCAAAATGTAAACAGAAAGAGTCCGTTATGTCATAACAAAAATATATAAACATGGAGGGATTTTCCGAAAAACAGAACATTCAAAAAAGATTCTACACCGGCCCGCAAAATCCCTCCATGCAAAAAGGCAAGCGTTAATGACACTTCAATTTAGGGTTCCCTCTCATTCCTTAATCCACACCGAAATAACGAATAGGACTTACAGCAATACGCCTACCCGTTTTCAATATGGATATAACCTATCTAGTTGGAACCTTCTAGGAGACACACCCTTCGTATGTCTCTTCTCGCTACCCCGTTGGTAGTGCGAACAACTATTGTTCTGACCTTTCCGTCCTTATCTGTCTCGCAATCCTCTACTATTCCCAAGGGCCATTTTCCACGAGTAGTAATATCCGAGGCGACAATAACTGCGTCTCCTTTTTGAAAATTGCGATGCTCTTTTAGCCATTTTGACGAGTTTGTAAGGAAGGCAAATACTTCTTTAACCACCTTTTCCAAAATACATTGGCTAAATAATTTACCTGCTTCCAACGTTTGTGGAACTTGTCACTAATACTTCCTTCCTCAGCTATTCCGTCACATTCTCTCAATAACAGTAGGCTATTTGGTGGTAGAGCTAGTCGGTCGTTAGCATCCTGGACTACCGGGGTGTTACGTCCAGTTTTTTGCTCGTTGATCTTACGAAGCACGGTTGTCGACTATTTTTAATTCACGGTCCCAAATTTCTAAACCAAGAACGAAACTCCAAAGTAGATACCAAAGTTTATTCCAAATCACAAATTCCACCAAAATACTGTATTACAAATAGACGACCAATGTCGTTCTAACAACAATAATTATAATAATTACAATTACCTTCTAATTTATTAGCTCTTGGAGCAAAAAACTGCAAACGAACAACAAAGAGAAACGGGAGTCCAAAATGTCCGCAAATAATAATTCAAACAAGTTCACAAGTTAAGTAAAACAAATGTACCCAAAAACAGTGAAATTAATGATATTTATACATGAAGGTTTTAATCAGCAAAATGTCTTCGTTTCTCCCGTAACACGGGGTTAGGGGTCGATCGTTTAGAATTCTCTCAATTTCAATCAGATACGTACCCAAGGTTTCGTCTGTTAACACCTGTTCCCTGGTGATCAATAATAGCAGCCTTCGTATAGATCTAATCATTCGTTCCCAGACTCCACCTCTATGGCTAGCTAGTGGAGGGTTGAAATGCCATTGAATTTGTCTTGATGATAATTCCTTACTAATTTTCTGATGATTCCACTGTTGCACGAAGCTCCTTAGTTCAGTGACCGCCCCCACGAAGTTTGATCCATTGTCACTAAACACATCTGTCGGTCTCCCTCTTCTCCCGATAAAACGTATTAAAGCCATTATGAATGAATCGGTATTCAGACTGTATGCCATCTCAATATGTACTGCTCGTGTCTGCAGGCAGGTAAACACACAACCATATCTTTTTTCTAGTGACCTACCCCTCTTGACCAGAAGAGGTCCAAAGTAGTGCACTCCTGTCGTCGAGAAACTATACCAACCTTTTTGCACTCTGTAAACTGGGAGTGGCGCCATCTTTTGGTTCCCTGGACACAAAGTAAACCTTCGACAAGTTTCACACCTTCCTATTACTCTTTTAACCGTGCTGGTGCCCTTAACTATCCAATAGTACTTGCGGATCGTAGCTAACACATGGGAAGTTCCCATATGTCCTTCTTCCTTGTGATAGTGTCTGATTATCAATTTGGTTACCCAATGTCGACTAGGCAAAAGTACGGGATGTTTCGACGCACTCGGGAGTTCGGAGTACATTAGGCGGCCTCCGACGCAGAGTAACCCATCAATCATTATCGGTGCTAAACCTCTCAGACGTTTATTACTCACTTCTTTACGACTAACGTTGGATTCGTTAAGTGATTCTCCGTATGCCTCCTTTTGAACAATCATCAGGACCTTCCGTTTGGCTGACTCAAGCTCCTTGACCTTTAAGTAACCTGTCGTGACAGAGCCTTCAATTCTCGGCGAGTGAAGTACTATCCAAGAGGTCTATGAACCTTCTGAGCCACGCTACAGCCCTAACCAATTTCATCCATTCCGAGTAATAAGACAAGATAGGTGACGGAGTGTTTGCCGTGCTACTCAAATTGACCGTAGCTTTTCTGAACTCGACTTGGTCCATTT